GCATGCACACGCGCCTGGCATGAGTTTTAAGCTACTGGGTCTGGGACGTGAACAGTGGTCGACTACATGGGAGTCCAGCGACATAGCCATTACGCTAACTGCTGGTTCCCTGATGCAGGCATTTGAAATTTGCTATAAACTTTCTGCTTCATGTGGATTCACTGTATCTCACTGATATGTATTTTTTATGTTTCCACTTGTTTCACAAAAAATTAATCCCTTCTTAACGTATTCATTGGTTAGTCAGGAGAGTATCCTGTAATTTCCATGTATCTGTACAGTCTCCAAAGAGCCTCTTGTTACTTATTTCCAGGTTTACCCCATAATATTCAGAACAGGTACTTAATCTGATTTTGATTTTTTAAAATTTGTGGAGAGCTGGCTCCATAGCAAGTGATTTTAAAAGGCTAAAGCCACAAGGTTGACCACAATGAGAAATATAGTCCTCCTGGCTTGAAACACATGCAGAGAGTGTGTGCCTGCATGACCAAAAAAACCAGCAGGACAAATAGAGCAAAGGGGATTTGGTGTGACTACACCCATAGGAGGCTGCCCACCAGCCCCCAATCTCTCTGATGAGTGCACACCCTTTGGCAATTGCAACAAAAAATTTGTTTAGGTTTACTTTGCAGCCTGTCAGGTGGCCTACCCTGAGGAATGTTATTTGTGCTCATGAACTCATTCTGTAGTTTGCAGGTGCTTGATGAAATGTACTGTAAATGTCTGTTAGGTCTCTTTAGGTTAACTCTTACAGAGGACAAGCTATGAACATGTACTGGATAATATTAATACGGACAAGATAAGATAAATACAACAAACCTTGGAAAGCTCTTCTTGACATTAAGCAAAAGAAATTGTAAGGACCTTTATCCTACTCATCCACCTTTCTATCCAATATGAAGGATGCTTATGAAAAAATAGTAAAATAATCCTCTTGACATTGTTCGCCAAAACCCAAAGAAGAGTCTCCATGACGTGAATTTCTATTACAGCATTTTAAACACATCAATGTTTCTCTTTAAGATATTTAACATCCATGCTGCATTCAATAACATAATCCTGAACCAGAATGTTTAAACCTACATCAGGTTTTAAGAAAACCAACTATCCTGACTTGTGACTACTGTCAGTACCAAGACATAAACACACTAGGACCAAATCCAAGCCACCAACCCTGTATCAGTCAAAGCGCAAGTAGGAAGAGGGACAGGCGCAACTAGGAAGGCATGATAATAGAAGCCAGTACAGATTTCTGCAGGCCCTTCACCTACCTGATGAGCAGGGCACAGCATCAGGGCCGAGTCCAGTGGGCAGCAGTAACAACTTCCAGCTGGGACCCCTGGATAGAATTCCCATTTCCTTCCTGGGCTCTTCTGGAAAAGAAAATAAGAAAGGGAGATCAGTACAGCTTATTTATAACACTCTATTCCAATGAGGTATCTGGAATATTTGTTCTGATTGGATGACTCAAATCCTGTAGGCTAGTTCTGATTGGACAGTCCTTCAACGATTATCAACCAATCTGAAAAAAAGAAGTTACATTTCTTCTTCTCCAACCAGAGCAAATCTTTCAGAATACCTTATTTAATAAACCGTCTATAAATACCCTCTCATGCTGTCCCTGTTTGTTTGTTTTTCGGGTCCTAGCAGTGGTCAGCTGCTGCTTCTGTGAGCTGGCTAAAGACCATGTGGCTGGCTGAGGTTTGTGGAATGACTTCCTTTTTTCTTAGAGGTTTTTCCTATAGGGCACGTGTGCTCACCATAAAAACAGAGAGGGACTGAGAGACAGAAAGCGAGAAATCAACCTCCAGGGAGATGGCCATGCCACAATCCCTTCTCCTCCATTCTCCTCTCAGGACCCTGAGCACGCATGCACACGTGCTCAGTGTGAGTCTAAGCCACCAGGTCTGGGACTCCAACCCAATCAACTACATAAGAGCCCAGCAACATAACCATTATACCAACTGCTGGTCCCTGTGGAATGGCTTTCTAATGTTAGGCCAGTTTGGGCACAGGCTGGACCACCTTGTGAACTGCCATGTTCTCTTACAGGAGTGGTTCAAAAAAAGCGAGGTGAGACCTAGTCAAAAACGTTGCGAAGGGGAGGCCTACACTGGGTGTTGACTGTGACAAGGATTAGAATTGCATATAAGAGAACCTTTTACACACCTTTGGAAGGCTTAGGTTCGAGGTCACTTTGACATTCATCTTACCTGATGCCTTTATATCTGTTTTAATGATTAATGTGAACAAAGGTTTGAATATACTTGGGGCTACTTTGAAAATGGAAGATAAATGTTTTCTTCTCAAAATCTTTTGTATCAATTTGTATCCACTTTACCCTTTTCATTAAAAAAAAGCATGCTTTCCTTTAATTTAGGGTGCTTGTACTCATTGGGGAGATACAGAGAGAGTGGCCGGGGTGGTCATGCTGCAATCCCTTCCCCTTTATTCTCCTCTTGGGATTTTGCATATGCACACAGAAGTTCCTGGCATGAGTTTCAAGCCACTGAGTTCAGGCCTCAAATAGTGACTGATTCAGTGGCCTAAGCTTTTACAACACCTTCTTGCCCCTTATTAATTTTTAAGCTTTTGTTTGTTTGTTTGTTTGGCTTAAAAGTAGAATACTGAGGGACCAGCAATTGGCGTAATGGCTATGTCACTGGACTCCCATGTAGTTGACCATGGTTCGACTCCCAGACCCAGTGACTTAAACTCTCGCGGGGCACGTGTGCGTGCCTGCCCAAGATACTGAGAGGAGAATGGAGAAGAGATTGCAGTGTGGCCATCCCCCCAGGGGATGATTTCTCGCTTTCTGTCTCTGTCTTTCACTTGAGTGCATGCGCCCTATAGCAAGAACATCTCAAAAAAAAAAAAAAGAATATTGCCTAGTGATTAATGGAAATGGGAGGGTAGGGAATGCAACTGTGGAATTGCTGGGGTTGAGTAAATAACCTGTCTCCTAGAGGGAAACTTTAATGGATAAAAAATTAGTTTGGGCAAATACTTTGTATATAGTCAAGCTGTTCAGGTGTGAACATGGTACTAAAAAAATAAAAGGCTCAAAGCAGTGAGTCCTGACCTCATCGTGAGAAAGTTACATGTATAAATAACATCAAATAGGTGATGATCAAACACATATGTTTGAGTCTTGATTATCTGAAACAAAGCATGGGGCAAGAATAAGTTGTGAACAATAGTGTGTAACTATTTCACATTCAACTGCGTTGAGATAACACTATAGAGATAATATTTTAATAAGTGGTAGGTAAAATAAATAGATAAAAGGAAAGTGAATTTGTTTTTTGATCTTAACAGAGTTCATTTGTTTACAAAGAATTATTTATTTAATTTTATTGTTATCAATTTCATTATAGAGAGATATTTGCTAGAGTTTGTGGGTGCTCACCAGAGAGACAAAAACACAGAAAGTGAAAAATAGATCCCCAGAAGTTTCAGTCCATTCTGCTTCATTCTCCTGGCAGGGTTTTGGGCAAACATGGACATGTGCATGGTGTGAGTTTCAATCTACTTGGTCTGAGACTCAAACTGTGGCCAACCATGTGGGAGTGCAGTGCCCTAACCACTATTCCACTTGATGGCCCCACTGTTGTTACATTTTTAACATGCTATAGGGCACACATGTGCACTGGAGAGAAACAGGGAGAGGGTAAGTGAAGACCCAAGCTGTCAGGTCCAGGACACAAACCCTGTTAGACTATGACAATCCAGTGCCTTAATCACCATGCAAACTGTGGCCCCTACAGATTTTGACATAGGACACTGAAAAATATGTTTCAAAATGTGTAATTTGGGAACAGCAGATGGTGTAGCGGTTACATTGCTGGTCTCACCCATGGTTGACTGCCATTAGAGTTCTGAACCTGGTGGCTTGAAACTCACTTCAGGCATGTGTGGGTGCGTGCCCCAAATCTCAAGCATAGAATGGAGCAGAAGAGATTGTGGCATGGCCATACCCCCTGGGCAGTGATTTCTCACTTGTCTCTCTGGTGAGCACTTGTGCCTTAAAGCAAAACTTGCTTACAAGAGAAAGAAAATGTATAACTCAAATGTTGGTGACGTGAGCTACGATGAGAAATTTAAGACACAAAATCTGAATCAAACTAGAGAAGTAAGTTTAATCAGTATCTTTCCAAATGAAATGAAACATA